GTACTTAGGATGACGGCAGTAAGCTCACTCTAGACTTATTCAAAATTTTGGGTTAGTTTTTAAAGACATCATGGAACCTGTAGACTCTAACTACCTAACTTGTATAATGAATGGGCATAACAGATAGAAATAAGATTTCTGAAACTCAAAAAAAAATTACAAACCCAGAAAAATCTTGGATTTAAATTAGATTTGATTTTATCTGCAACTACTTCCAATACAACAGAAAATAAGGTTTTCAATGGGTAAATAAGTAGAAAGGAAACTTAGTTCAGTATAGGAAAAACTTGAAATAATTTTTACAACCTATGGAAACTAGCTGTCAGTTTACAAGAATGGGGAAGAGTTAATAAAGCTTAATGCCTATCTCATCTGACCTACAGCACCTTGAACAAAACAAGGAAGCTGTTTTTTCTAGACCCCTAGAAACATATTTAATCCATCTAGTAATGCAGGACACCACTTACTAAATATTTTAAAGCCACTCAAGCCAAGGCAAACTCTGAAACTTTGTATTTGAAACCTCTTATATCTCCTTCTATGATCCCTCTTCCTATGCACTACTGCTGCTTAAATCTCCACATTTAGCCTTCCACTGGGTCATCTTAAATGTAATTCCTTAAATACATCTAAATATATGTTTGTCAATAATTGGCATGGGTCCTAGTTACTTAGAGGACTCTTTCATGATTCATCCAAATGGGTGTCTAATGGAGAAATGAAGGTAACATGACAGATGAAGGAGAATGGAGGATCAGGTGTTTGATGAATGAAGGTGACCTTCCCAAAATTTTTCAAATCCAAGGGCTTTTTCTATCTCTAATTTTGAACTGTTAGCAATATAACACTTCTTAGAACTTCTTTCTGAAACAGACCAAAAATCTACTACTTTATAATACAAAAGTTTCATCTGTGTTAGCTTGGTAACTCTTCCATTTCATTTTCCAATGTAATTAGGTATTTCTAAGTGAACAGAAGCTTGCCATGAAAATAATCATGAAGGCAATATCTGTCAACTAAGCCAGCAGCCACTGGAAGTTTGATTTTATGCTAAGAGAGAGGACTTGCCCCACCAATAAGCTTGTCAGTCATGAATTCTTTCAACTCTCAACTCTACTTGCACCTTCCCTGAAACTCTACTAGGCAGAGGGAGAAGAAACTGGAATAACAAATTTGTTGTGTACCTCACCTCACTAACCAATGTTTTTTCTAGTTTCCTCTTAAAGTGGTCCACAAAATAGCCTCCACTCCCTCATCTTCCTTTTATTCTAAATTCCTTTTATTCTAAATTCATTGTACTCTAATCCTACTGTTCTCTCCTTCAAAACTTAAATCACATCATTTTTGGTATTGTTAACTATCAAAATGCTGAGATTTAGAATCTCATATTAGAGATTTTTTGCCTTATGAAAAAATTTCCAGAGTCTAAAGTTTGTCTAGTATTAACATTGTCTGTGACTTGTTGGAATTATTGATGACTGTGCAATCAAATATATAATCTTGTATCTAGTGCTTGGAAATTCTAAATTCTTATCCTTTCCTCTTTTTCTAGTTATTTTTCTTTTTTATCAAAAAAAATTGGATAGAAAGAGGTTGAAAGAATTGAGAATCATGACAAAGCCTGGATTGCATTCTAGATATTGTATGTAGAAATATAGATGTTAAAGATTCTTCTGGTAAGGGCTTTGAAGTAATTAAGGAGCATGGCAAAAAAAAAAAAAAAAAGAGCTTCTGTCATTTTGAGAATACAAATATGTTGAACAGAATGCTGATAGAAGATAGAGAACATTCTAAGTGCTTCAGAAAGTTCAGAAGGAAACTGGACACATTACTAGGAATAGGAAGAATGCTGATCCACAATCATGTAGTGACAGAAAACCTGGCTGAATTGTGTCTTACAGTTGTGTGGGTGGGAGAGCTTTAAAATTATAAACTTGGATATATAGTAAAGGAAAATTTCAGGCAATGTGTTGAAGGTGTGTCCTGGAATGTTCATTCTGCTCATAGTTAATGAGAATATAAAAATAGATAAACTGAAGAAATATAAGGAAATAATCAGTAATTTGGTGTAGTAGCTATAGGAAAGTAAAACTGGCCAGGAATAAAGTCAGGAACCTCATATAATTCCTATTTTCCAGTGCTGGATTGGTGGTATAGAATCAGGTTAGTTTAAGCTGCTTACAAGTTTATATTAACACTAGATGATTTATCACTAAATCAAAATACCTGTTCAAAATGTGTTATTTTGATATTACATCACTTGAAGATTCTGGACATGCTACTGCCTACCCTCAATTTACTCTTGAAAAAATAAGCCACAAATGATAAGGAGAATAAATCTCTCTGTCTCTTGAAGTTAAAATAAATCTTATTTTAAAGAGTTCAAATTCCCAAGCTGGCTTATTCACAACATGTCGATAATTGTAATTTTGCTTGTTTCCTTTTAAATACACAAATTCTCAGGCCTTATTTAGAATTTCCTGGGTACTCAATATGTATTTTTTTTTCCCCAATGGTGCATGTTTTTTTTAAGATTTATTTATTTATGCATACAGAACTGGGGAACAGGCCAGAATTGCGGGGCAGTGAGAGGATTCACTGGAGACAGAGTGGGGAGAAAAACAGGCAGATTGACAACAGGCAGAATGATGAAGAACACTGCTGAGGGGAGCAGCAAGAGAGACAGGAGAGGTCTGCTGCACCATGAGGGTCACCTCCATGGCCAGGGATCGAACTAGCACTGAAACAATTGCTGCTTTGTGGTGCTGCGCTTTAACCTGATGACCAATAGGGAGCTCCCTGCATGAGTTATTTTAATGACCAACCATCTTAGAGAACTAATGAAATTATAGACCACACATGGATTTACCTACCATTTCTTAAATACCTTCTCTGTGTGAGATATATTTTGAGCTTCACATACTAATGGCATTTAATCTTACACAAAAAGTAGATTCTTCATCTCTGCTTTATAGTTGGCAATCAGCATCGAAGAAGTACAATTTATCCAAGCCTACCAGTAATTTAGGGGTAATGCTAGCTGCCCACATACCTATCAGATTCCAAAACCCATACTCTTAATACAGAAAAACCAACATAGTGCAGTGGGATGAAAACAATTTGTTCACATTTCTCCACATAGCCTTTCTAGGTGAATGATATTGGGTAAGTCATTTAATTTCTCAAGTTTCAGTTTGTTCTTTTCAAAAAATGTGTAATAATATGTATCTCAAGCAGATGTCATGAAAATTGAATTTAACTACATATATAGTAGTACTTTTCCAATTGTAAAGCAGCATGCAAATGTACGGTACTATAATGGTTTTACCCTTATCTATTCCGTAGTGACAGAGTAAGAAAAGGGTAGCAATGCTATCTGCAGAAGCATCTGCTCTCACAAATGCCACACCGACTGCCAGCTGCCTTTCTTCTGGTGAACTTACGACTTCCTGAATGGTTACTTCTAAAGCCAGACTGGACTGGAATTTGAATCCCAACTCTTGTCATTTACTAACATTATAATCATGGGCTAATCTCTCCATAATTTTTATTATTCATCTGTAAAAATGGAAGTAGGTGCTTCTCTTTTTAGATTTGTGGCTCAATTTGAGATAAGAGACTGCCTATAATATTTTTTGTGATCATCATAATTTAGTTATTACTGACAGTAGCTGTGTTAGAAAGATGGCAAATTCTCTTTGTAAGTTTCCACTGGGTACCATCTTGTGCAGAGTAACACCGGCAGGACAGGGCGGAGTGCCAACAGGGAGGCAGTACACACTGCAGGGCCTGGAAATACACCACGGCCAGTTACAACCCACCTGAATACCAGTTCCCATGGTAGCCTCTTCTCATTCCTATGCCGGCAAAATGATTTCAACTATGGCTACTCTTCAACAGAGAATCTCTACAAGAACACCTAAAGAGAGAAGTTGAAGAGTTTAACTAGTTGGCATAACTAATGCCAAAATACATTCATATGCAGAGTGGGAGTAAGAATACTTCCTTTGGCATTTGGCAGAAGACCAGCTGGAAAGGCAGTCATAAACTAGTTAATTGGTAACATTAAGTAAGTCAAGAGTGTTATCTTGTGGCATATACTCTAATTAATATAGCTACCATTGGTGAATTCCTGTCAGGAACTGTGCTAGACACATTATGAAAATTCTCACTAGGCAGTAAAAGTCTACTGAATAAGAACCATTACCTCATTTTACAGGTGAGGAAACTGAAGTACAGTGAGGTTCAATAAGTTATCAAAGGATAAAAATGTGGGGAATATCGGTGGTGGGAACTGACATAGTATTTAACCACTTAAAAAAAGCATAACTTGCTTAGTGAAATAACCCAGAAAGAAAAGGAAAAATATTGGATGGTTTCACTCATTGCAGGAGTATAAGGGACTAGGGGAGAAAATAATAATGAACAACTATATACCAGAGATACTTTATAGGGGTGGAGTAGGAAATGGGATCAAAAATGGAGGAGAGGGGGAATGACTATGGTGATGACACACGGGTGATTTGGTTATGGGGATTACAACTGAGGTGGAAAAAGGCACATAATGATGTAAAAATAAACTATTATATTAGGAAAAAATAATAATCACTTAAAACTTAAAAAAAAGCATAAACTTTCCATTGACTCTTATCTGGCATTATTAATCCTTTTCTAGCAACTACTATTCTTCTTCTGCTCTTTTATTTTGCTTATAACCTTCCCCAAGAAAAAGTACACAATAAAATCACTAAGATGGATGGGTAGAGCAAGATACACAGATAAGTAGATAAGTTAGATGGATAGACAGATGGACAAATGGATGAATAAGCATCTAGAAATACACAAGGAGACAGATACATAAATAATTGATGGAGAACCAGAAGCCCGGTGATAGGTAGAGTGTGAGTATATGTGTATACACACACAATACTCTGACTTTTGACACCATCTCATGGATCTGATTAGCACATCACTGGTGTTCTTCTTGTGTCCCGGCCCAGGTGTGCGGAGCAGCTAGTCCACAATAACCTCCCAACCACCAGCATCATCATGTGCTTTGTGGATGAGGTATGGTCCACTCTCCTCAGGTCTGTTCACAGTGTCCTCAATCGTTCTCCTCCACACCTCATCAAGGAGATTCTGCTGGTGGATGACTTCAGCACCAGAGGTAAGAAAACCCCTCTGCACAAAGTTTGAGAGACAATAGCAATTGGGGTAGATGGCAAAATCACTTGGTAATTTGATAAAGCATAAACATTTACAAATGCAAAATCATTGTTTCATGTGGTAACTTTGAGGCATAAACTGAAGTGTCTATGGGTACAGAAAGTCAGATCTGCCTACCAGTTGGCTGCTTCGGATTTCTATGTGACTTTTCTGCCCAAGTAAGAATTGCAATCTTAGGAGAGTGGACTTTGAAGTCTCAGAGACTAGATATTCTGTACAATTGCATGATCTTCTTATGGAATCTAGCAAGAAAATATACCACAATTCTTACTAGTAATAATTAGAATTAGAGTTAGACTCTATGGAAAACAAAAAAAAAAAAAAAATAAAAGATCTATAGCTTCTTTCTCAACGGCAAGTGTTAAATAAGTGTTGAGAAGATAATCTGCCAATAGGACTAGAGAGATGAGGTTCTAACAGAGTTCAAATCCATAATATCTTTATATTTGCCTTTATTATTACACTGAGAAATCTCTTTTTGGGTTGCAAACAATTTATGCATGTAAGTAGTCCCAAGACCACTGGATTTTCCTTACCACCACAATTACAAATACCCCCAAATACAACTCACTTCAGAAAATTTTAGAAAACAACCAAGAGCCAGCAACCTTACTATTGCAGCTTAGCCTTAGTCATGACCACAAAGATGTATATGTTTCATAGATTGCAGAGTTCCTACCAGAATCTCACTGAACTCCAGCAGCTGGAGTTTAGGCATAAAGAAAACATTTAAGATGTGTGAAAGTATATACAGAAAAAGGATCCAACTAGCAAGTAGACAGTTTGTTAATGGTAGAGCTAGACTTTGTGGGACCTGAAGTTTATATGATTTTCAAGATCCTATTTTAGAAAACTACAATTGGTAGGAAAGTGAGCTGTATAGGAAGCAATTCCTACCTGGGTTATCTGCCAGTAGTTGATAGCACAGAGAAATGGCTGTAAGTCCCATACGCATATCCCAAGAAAGCCCCAACAATATTCCTATTGAGCAGAGGGGCGGTGTGGAGGAATTATAGTGGGGGTGTTAGAGTAGGAAGTCAAGGAGCCTTAATGGATTGCAGCTGCAATAACTTTTTGCAAAAGTTTCACCTCTTCCTTGGGAAAGGGCCTTTACAAGCAAGGAAGGTTGTGCAGAAACCTGAGGTTTCTTTCTTACCAGGTCAAGTTGGCCTGTCCTGACAAATACTCAGAAAGGAAATCTCTTTTCCGTGCAACTTGGTAACACCAAAATGAAGAATTTGGGATTTAAGAAAATAATCAGCTGAGAGTATTGAACCCAAAAAAAATCCATCCAAGAGAGTAACATCAAGGAATAAAATCATGGCCAAAGAACACAATTCAGTGACTATAGTAAATGTCATCACTTTTGGAAATTGACAGTGAAAAGTTGCTGATTCTGGTATTCTCCAGATCTGGTTAACTGAAGTGTTTCTTTATCCTTACTCTGATACAGACTACTTAAAAGATAAGTTGGATAAATACATGTCCCAGTTTCCAAAAGTTCGGATTCTTCACCTCAAAGAAAGACATGGCTTAATAAGAGCTAGGCTAGCAGGAGCACAAAAAGCAACAGGTAAGAAGCTGCAAAAATTTCCCCCTTGACTACTT